GAATATTAATGAGTAAAAAATTTGAAACAAGTGATACTTTAATATCTTTAGTTATTTGAAATAAGAGTAAAACGTTGCAAAAAAAAAAGAATGAATTTAGTACCAACTATTCCTGCCTGGCAAAAATACAAGGAATTGAAAGGCACGTTACTTTGAAGATATAAGTAACATAAAGCCAGATAGTATTCAGAATTCAAATTTATGCTACAACAGACTTTGCCTCAAATTGAATGTCCCCCCAAGACTTAATCCCCACTGTAACTGTTGAGAGTGGGAAATAATATTATGGTAATTGAAAGGCGGGGCCTTGAAGAGGTGATTAACTTGATGGTTTAACAGTGGTTGTGCGCATGGTACTGAGGGCTCTCTTTCTCTGCTCCGCCATTTTCTACCATGTGAGACCCCTGAGTTGCTGTAAAACCACCACCAAAGAAGGTCCTCACCGTAAGTGTTCCCTGGACTATGGACTTCCCAGCCTCTGAAATTGTGAGCAATAAATATTGTTTCCTCACAAATCACCCAGTTCCAGGTATTCTGTTATACAAAACAGAAACGGAATAATACAGACTTCTTGGGATGAAACCAGAATTCTGTATTAATTCTGTAACAAAGTAAACAAATAAAATCCAAACACATATTGAGTTTACCCTCAATACACTAATTTTCCAGGTCTAAAGAAGATAACCACAAAAATAATAAAACTCACGTATAACAAACGATTTGTGGGTTAAACTCAGATTTTATTATACAACTCACCTGAGACAATATCAAAACACTTGAACAGCTAATATGCATTAATTAGTAAATACTGTTTCCTCACTATTCCAATATATAAACCTTGACTTTTAATAATATTACTTGAAATCATTACTGATGAGATTGGCAACATTAAACAAGATTAAATTTGAAAGGCATTAAGTTAAATAAGTTATGGTAAATCCATTCCATGGAATACTACATAGTTATTAAGGAGGTAGAATTTCATGGAAAGATATTCATCATTAAGTTTGCATTTAGCAAACTGCAGAAGAATATGGTAAGATCCCAAAGGCAGTACAGGGGTTAAAACACAACCCCTGGAACAAGACCTCCTGGGGTCAAATTTCACCTTTGCAACTCACTAGCTGTGCAACCTTTGGCTACTTTACTTCTTTATGCCTCAGTTTCTTCATCTGCAAATGGGTATAACAGAACCTACTTCACTGGGTATGTTCATAGGATTATGAAAGGTAAATGAATTGATATGTATAAAGCACTTAGCAAGCATATACAATGTTAACTATAATTTTTGTGAAAAAAATTAAAAAATTCAAATCATATAGTATGTGCATGCATATGTGGGGAAAACTTTCATTTTTTGCATTGTTTTTGTTTTTTTTAAACAAAGAATATTACTTTAGTAATTTTTTTTTAAAAAGGAAAGTACAATAAAAACTTGGCACTAAGATCTTCCCTGCTGAAGATCTGCTCGTGCAATTACTGAAACACTCAGAATCAGACAAGTTCTATGAATACCAACATATTAAAAACATGAAAATTTCCAAGTGCAACAAAGAAGACACAATACTTAATTTCCAAATAAGATATAGTTCAATAACAAGCTATACACCAATAAGCAGAAATGCAATGGCATTAAAATTTATATCCCTTTATTTCCCAGAGGAAAGAAATAATATAAAAATATCTATCCAGTGTAGAAATGGGTGACTATAAGGACCTTTCACAATTAGATAAACCTCCATTAATTTTATTAGTCTGAAATTAAATAACACCAAATCTAATTATCTCCAATTCAACAATCTCTAATGACAACTCACGAAGATATATATAAATGGGCCTGGAGATCAAGAGAAACCAAATAACTGAGAAAATTCTAAAATCCCTAAAGGGTTGGCCAGTTAGCTGAGGTGGTTACAGCATATTGTTGTAACACAAACACTAAGGGTTCAGATCCCTGTACCAGCCAGCTGCACTACTGCCCACCCTCTCCCCCCCCGCCCCCCAAAAGATTAAAATCCCTAGAACACTCTGCAAACTTCTGAAAGGAAGATTTCATCACCTACATGCTTTGAGGAAGCTTTGGTGCCCTGAATAAACTTAGCTTCTTCCATAAATACAGTGGGTGTACAAAACAACCAAATGGGGGAGCAGAAAAAGAACTTGGAGCTTCAGCTGCATTTCTGCTGAGCTGCAATACTGGTAGAGCCTGTTTCAAGATCCAAGAGTCTACCCTCAAAAGTAAAGAAAGCACATGTAAGCAGCAGGCTGTCATATACACTCATCACATTTCCCAGAATAGTATTTCATAAAAATTATAAATATTCATTATCAAGCTCCAAACAGCATTACTATCATTGACTGTGTTCCACCTAAAAGAAACTTCCTGGAACACAAAAAATATATTACCTAGTTAGTTAAAATAGCTTTTCACAAACATATCAACCATTAAAATATCTCCATAGAATTATAAGATTTGTCATTTCAAATAGTTCACATAATACCTAAGAAAAAGAAAGAAGTCAATAAATGTTAGCTATTATTATAATTACTATTATTATAATATTTTAAAATGATGGAACAGATACTTATTCATAGAGAAACTTAATAAGTTGCTTTCTGTCAGAATCTAAGTTGGCTCATCATAACCATGAATACCTAGACATTAAAAGGCACTTTGTTTTAGAGGAGTCAAAATTAGATTCCTTGGATTCTAAAGGAGGTAGTAAAGATGAAATAATTTCTGCAAAAAAAAAAAAAAAATTATCTATTCCCTCCTAAGTTTTTCTGGTACAGAAATCCATACTTGTAAACATTTTGCAATTCTGCTTAAGTGCTATGGCTTTTGGAACTAATGTATTTTTTGAAAGGTAGTCTAGATTTGTAAATAATGGAAGTAAAATCAAGGAACAGATCAGAGTTCTGTATTACAAAATGAAAGGAGACAGTTCAGAGTGGGTTGAAAATAGATGTGGTTAGCCTAAGTCCTAAAAACTTTCAAAAATACAAATATTTGGTCAAAATTAAGATTGCTTGGGAGGATAATATTTGATTCTGATCCTGAAAAAAGGGAAAAAGACTAATACCCTTATCTAATTTTTTTGTCTTTTTAATTTCCCAATAGAAGAACTACAGTTTATCCTTCCAAAGACTCACAGAAAATCATTAATAAAACATAAATTAGTAAGGAAAAATAAAAACACATTTGACAACATGCTTTTCACTAGTCTCCAGTGTGGGTGTACTGGCATTATATGGGAGCAAGACAAAGCAAGCACCTTTTCGGACAGACACTTTAAGATTAATGAGCATACTTTATGCCTGATTTTATAGCTCTAAGAGTATGCTTAAAACCTTATATTTTAAAAAATGGCTCACAAAAAATGGTGTATAAAAACATAATTTGGGGCCGGCCCGGTGGCGCACTGCTATAGTGCGCCGCTTGGGAAGTGCGGCGGCGCTCCCGCCGAGGGTTCTGATCCCACATACAGACCGGTTCCCGCTCACTGGCTGAGCGAGGCACGGGAGCAACGCTGAGGGTTGCAATCCCGTTGCTGGTCCCGGTCCAGTATGGGGGCAACACTGAGGGTTGCGATCCGTTGCCGGACACGGAAAAAGACAAAAAGGAAAAAAAAAAAAAAAAAACATAATTTGGGGGCTGGCCAGTTAGCTCACTTGGTTAGAGTGTGGTGCTGGTAACACTAAGGTCAAGGGTTTGGATCCCCAAGTCATCAAAAATAAAAATAAAAACATAACTTTGCTTTTTATATATACAAAATGATATATAAATTGTATATATAATTACAGCATTAGAATTAAGTTATGGGCCGGCCCGGTGGCGCACTGCTATAGTGCACCGCTTGGGAAGCGCTCCCGCCGAGGGTTCGGATCCCACATACAGACCGGCCGCTCCCTGGCTGAGCGAGGAGCGGGGGCAACACCGAGGGTTGCGATCCCGTTGCCGGTCCTGGTCCGGTACGGGCGCGACACTGAGGGTTGCGATCCGTTGCCGGTCACGAAAAAAGACAAAAAGACAAAAAAAAAAAAGAATTAAGTTATACTTTTCTTTCAGATATAAGTACTTCTCAGGTACCTGGTTCATCTTCAAACTCCAAAAGAGACAATATAGAGACTTTAAAAGTATGGGGTTTTTTTGACATTCAGTCAACCATTCATTTATATATATATATATATATATATATATATATATATATA